TGATGATGTAAGGATGTATAAGAGGCTGGCAAGAATTGCACATGGTAGTAACTATACTGCTGATCCTTAAACTCAAAAAAGTTTCTTTCTTCCCTATGTGATGTATATGGTATGTCCCTGCTTAGTAACCTTTTGCTAACCCTCTTGGAAGGTTTCATAGGTGGGAGAAGGAAAAAGCAAAACATTTGGCAGACCTCCCCCTGTAATGCTTTGCTCCTGGTCCTTCCTTAAATAATTGTTAACTAATGGTATTTTATTGTCAGTCTTTCTACGGTGCTTATAATTCTGGTATCCGTCACCATGCTGTTTGCGAAGTGTGTTTTCTTGCATGGTAGTGAGTCACAAACATAACGGTTTTTGAAGAATTGCAAATGAGCATCACAGAGATGGAGTCCAGAAGGGATAACAGAGAGATGCATGCAATCTATGACAAATATAGTGTGTACTGAGCTTCTTGTATGCTGTCTCCCTCCTTAGAGGGCAGGAGCCATGTTTCTGCCCTTCTTTGTACCCTCAGTGCTTAGCACAGTCCCTAGCTCATAGCGGGTGCTAAATAAATATGTATTGACTGGTTGTTCATAGACTGTAACAAAAGAGAAAGTGCAAAGAGGAACTAGAGTGAGGGATGTCACCACGGATATGTATGATCGAAAAATAAGATCAAAGGGTCACACAGAGAGGGGGAGGGATAACAGGTGGACAGCCTGGGTTCACTGCAAATCTCCTCCAAATGTCATGACAACAAGAAAGTTTCTTGACATGTTAGACAGACTGCTTATAGGACACAGATAGGACGTGCATCGGATGTGGTCAGGCAGAGATGGATTGTGAACATCGAAATGGACGGGGTCACAGATCCATCTGAATATGTGCCTGCAGTTTGCATGCTAAGGGAAAGGATGGGAGGGGAATAAGCATTTACATAGGACCTATTATATGCAAACACTTTTTATAAATATTATCCCATTTGATCCTTGTAACAGCCCTGTGAGGTAGGTGCTATTATAATCTAACATTTACAGGTGAGGCAACTGAGGTGAACAGAGGGTAGGTGACTTGCCTAGGGTCACATGACTAGTAAATTTCTGAGGCCTGATTTGAACTCGGGTCTTCCTGACTCCAGGCCCGCACTCCTTATATAGCGCTGCCTCACAATTTTCAACATATGTATGATGGCTTTCTCCTATGTTGTTAATACTTCAAGGAGTTGGGATTTTGTCCACTTGGGTTTGCCTATCACTTATACAGACTGCAAACCCTCTACAAGATGGAAGACTTGGAAAAGTAAAAAAATACCTGGGAAGACTTGCATGCAGAGGGAAGTGAGTAGAACTAGGGGGGAAATGTATACAATGACAATAATGTTGTAAAAATGAACAAGTTTGAAAGACTAAGGAACTCTGACCGATGCAATGCTGGACCATGATTCCAGTTGACTGATGATAAAACATGTTCCCTGTCTCCTGGCAGTGAAGAGATGAACTAAATATTCTGATGAAATGGAAATGTACATTTCTGCACATGGATAATGAGAGAATTCATTTTCCTTTTGGTCTGTGCATATTTGTTACAATGGTTTTATTTTTATTTTTTCAGCGTAGGGAAAGGACTCAGAAAAAAGAGAAAATAAATGCTTGTTAATTGGAAAAAATTAATCAAAATTTAAGAAAAGGAAGGAAGGAAGGATGCCATGGCTGAAAGATTCATCAGCTTGTGGCCAAATCAGTGATGTATTTCTCTTACTCAGCCAGGCCGATCCTTAAACGAAAACATAGTCTAGCCCTGAGCCTACACTCAAAGCTTTTGAGCTTATTAAAACCTTCCAGAACTCCTATTCCACTAGCATAGCCTTTGAGAATTCTGGGTTACTTCTAAGCCACAATGAAGCATCAGAGCTGGGACATTAGTGGGATATAATTAACTAGGCATCCTTTAAAGATCTGTGGTCTCATTGTTGTGGGTACTCCCTCTGTCCCGATGCCGATTTAATCCCCTGCTTTAGGCATATGGTCTTTAGAAGTTGCTATGCCTAAAAAAATTAATTACTGAGTAGCTACCCTGCTAATCATGAGGACTTGCACATAAATTTTTGGTCTGGACCATAAGGAACTCCCAGTGTAGAAACCCACTACATTTTCTATTATTTTAAAGTCTCAGCAAGTAATCTGGGCACTGAAAATTTAAGTGGCCAGCCCATGGTCACAGAGCCAGCACAGGTCTGAGGTAAGACTTGGACCAAGGTTTTCTTGACTTACAGGCTAGCCTTTTTACTACTGTGCCCCACCACATATATATTTTCATATTGCCCTTAAGGAAGTGTGGCAAATGGAATTTTCTCAAAAGGAGATGCAGAACATCTGTCTAATACCCCAAGTAATTTTGTGGGAGTTCACATTCAATCTCTTCTAACATGGGCCAACACAGGCAAGGAGCTCCTCAGAAAACAACAGAACTGCTTTAGACTTTGCTATAAGTAAAAATTCTAATGAGGAAAGTTTTATAAAAGGGATGAACAAAAGGAAGGAGACTTTTCCAGAGAGGAGTCTAAAAGAAATATTTATGCTTCAAAAGATCATGAGATTCCCACTAGACTGACCCTAGATTCATGATCTAATAAGGTGTTTACAAGAGTGCCTGGCATGTAGTAAGTGCTTAATAAATGCTTGTTGAAAGGGTCAAGAAAAGACTAACTGTGGGAGTCAGCAAGCACTAGACCATACTTTTATGGGTATCCCAATAGTGAAGGGCTTCTATGTTAAGGTATTGGAGGCATATGAGATGACATCACTTTTCCTTTAGCTATTAATCCCCTAAGACTAAAGTTCTCATACACCAACATATCAACAGGAGCACTTTTTGTAGAAGTAAAAAACTAGAAGCAAAGTAGATGCCCATAATTTGGGGAAGCTGTGGTATATGAGTAGAATGGAGTATTACTGTGTGGTAGGAAATGGTGAGCATAAGGAGTACTGAGAAGCATGGAAGGACTTACAAGAACTGATGCAGAGTGAAGTAAGCAAAGCCAAGAAAACAATATACACAATGACTACAACAATGTAAAGGATCACAAAACTATTTTAAAAAGTAAATTTTGCAAAATTATACAAGACAAACATGGCTCCAAAGAAGAGATAAGAAAACAGTCAATAAGCATTTATTAAGCACTTATTATGTGCTAGGCATGGTGGAGATACAAGGAAAAGCTTTCTTTATATATATATATACATATATATATATATATGTATACACACACCCATACAACTCTTACTTATACATAGCTGTTTTTACCTTTTTATGTAATTTATCATATTTGTATGTAAATATGATAAACTGGAGATAATTTAGAGGAAGAAGGTCCTAGCATCAAGGGAAATTATGAAAGGCTTTTCCTAGAAGGTTGAATTTTAGGTAAGCCTTGAAGGAGGCAGGGAAGCCAGGGGGTAGAAATCAGGAAGGAGAGAATTCCAGGCACTCGGGACAGCCAGTGAAAATGCATGGAGTTGGGAGATGTATGAATACTTTGTGTGAGGAGCAGCAAGGAGGCCAGGGTCAATGGAATGTAGAATATATGGAGGCAAGTAATGAGTAAGAAGACTGGAAAAGTAGGAGAGGGGTCAGCTCATAAAGGGCTTCAAATGCCAAATAGAAGATTTTATATTTAATCTTGGAGGTGATGGGGAACTCCTGTAGTTTACTGGATAGGTTGGGGGGTGGTGGCAATGGTCAGACCTGTGTTTTAGGAAGATAAGTTTGAAAGCTAAGTGGAAGATGAATTTGAAGGAGTGAGATTAACCAAGAGGCTACTGCAATAGTCCAGAGGCAAAGAGATAAGGCCTGGGCCTGGGTGGTGGCAGTACCAGAAGAAAGACATGGGTGTAGAAGAGAGAGGTTATGAAGGTAAAATTGACAGGTCTTGGCAACAGATTGGACATGGAGAGGGAGAATGCGTAGAGTCAAGGATGACATCTAGAATTCAAGTCTGGGTAACTGAGATAATGGTTGTACCCTCCAGAGTAATTGGGGAATTAAGAAGAGGGGAAATTTTGGAGGGGAAAGATAAAGAGTTCAGTTTTGGACATGTTGAGTTTAAGTTGTCTATGGGACATCAGGTTTGAGATACCAAATAGGCAGTTGGAGATCTGAGTCTGGAGTCAGCAGAGAGGTTAGGGATGGATAAATAGATTTGAGATTCATCAGCATAGAGGTGACAATTGATTCTATGGGAACTGATGATATTACTAATGAAAACAGTAAAGGAGAAGAAAAGAGGGCCCAGGACAGAGTCCCTGGAGACAGCCACCATTAGTGGGTATGAACTAGATAAAAATCTAGCAAAGAAGACTGAGAAGGAGCAATCTAATAGGCAGGAGGAGAACCAGGATATAATAGTATCATGGAAATTTAGAAAGAAAAGAGTATCAAAAAGAAGAGGGTGACTGACACTCCTGTCCCACTTTGAAGAGCCAGGTCCATATGTGTGGAATACAGCATGTATTTTAGACTTTTTTGATGTATTGATTGGTTTTGCTGATTTAAAAAATATTCTTTTCTTCTTTTTTTTTTTTCCAAAGCATTTTTTGTTATATAGGATGGCTCTCTGGGAGGAGAAAGGAGGAGGGAGACTGGGAGAAATTCTGGTGATATAAAAAAACATGTACATCGACAAAAAGTGTATTTAAAAAGATATTGCTCACTTTAGTTAGTACCTGAGTTCAAGTGGTCAACGCTAAGTAGGGGTGATAATTCCACCTCCATTTTGTGTGCGTGTGTGGCTTCCACTGGAACTCTTCCTAGACCTTTCCCTGCATGAGTCCTTCAGTATCAGCACATAAATCATGCAGGATATAAAACTGGTGAGACTTCACTTCTTGTTACTAATTTTTGTAACCTCTGGGAGGGACTGGGAGGGTGTTTTAGTTTTGCTGATTGTCTGCGACTGCCAGGTTTGCTCCAGATGTGAAAAAAAAAAGTGCTGACTTGGTTGGGACGCTTGGACTTACTTGATAAAGTATTTGATGCCATCTGCTGTGTGAGCTTCCTCCCACCCATAAGGCAGACCTAAAGCAAAAAGAGATCAGAAAATACTCTTAATAAAATAACTTCACACCATACACTTGGTAAAGCAACTTGATTTCATAGATAAGCATCATTTTTATGGTATATATAATAATAATTAGCATTAACAAAACACTTTCAGGTTTGTAAAGTACTTTATAGGTGTTATCTCATTTGTTTCTCACAATAACTTTGTGAGAAACTTGTATGATTATCATACCTGTTTTAAAAATGAGGAAACTGAGGCAGACAGAGGTTAAGTGATTTGCCCAGGGTCACACAGCTACTAAGTGTCTGAGACAAGATCCTAACTTGGGTCTTGCCAAAACACATTTATTGAATAAATTAATCTCCCTAGAAAGTGGAATTAAGAAATTTGAGACTTTCCTTGACTATTCGGACTTTCAATACCACAATAAATAACAAAACAATTAATAGCCTTTCCCCTTGGATGAAATCACTTAGGTTGCGGTTTGCCATTTATATCTGAAAAACATTTCTGGCAGTGAGATTTAAGCAAAAATGTACATTTTGAGACAGGATTGTGGTGTGGGTAAGATGACTACTCATGTTCTTTCTAGCTCAACTGAATTTGATTCAACAAATGTATAAGGCACACTATCTGTAAGGCCATGTAGTCAGTGTGGAGGATATAAAAGCAAAAACTGGCCCTGACCTCAAGGACCTTGTATTCTATTGGAAAGATACTGTGGTTGCATGGATAAGAAACACAAAACATACAAACAATAATTTTAAGAGAGAGACAATGCCTTTGACCCAGAGATTCGAATATTAGGCCTCTAACTCAAGGAGGTCATTGATATAGAAGAAACTTCCTTCATACACCAGTATTTATAGTACTACTTTTTGTAACAGCAAACAGCTGGAAACAAAGCAGATGCCCATCACTTGGGGAATGGCACATATGTAATGGAATATTATTGTGCTACAAGAAATGTTGAACATGAATACAGAAAAGCATGGAAAGACTAATGTGAATTGATTCTGACTGAAGCAAATGGAGCCAAGAAAATATACACAATGACTATAATAATGTGAATGGGAAGAACCACCACCCAAAATAATTGAAAATGAATGTTGTAGCATCACAAAGAACAAGCATGACCCCAAAGAAGAAATATGAGAAGATACCTGCTCCTACTCCTTTGCAGAGGGAGGATGTGTAGCATATCATATAGTTTTTAATTTTTTTCTCTGTATTGATCCATTTTGCCGATCTTTTTTTAAATTTTTTTTCTTTAAAGACTTTTTTATTTTGTTTTATGGGATTGTTGTCTTAGAGGGGAGAGGGGAGGAATACTGGGAAAAACGAGGTGATGAAAAAATTATCAATGAAAATTTATTATTATATTTTGAAAGAATGAGACAGTGCTAGCAACTAAGGGATCAGGAAAGGTCTCAGGTAGGATGTGACACCCAAGCTATGCTTTGAAGTGAGCCAAAGATTTCATGAGTCAGAGATACGGAAGGAGTGTGGTTTGTAAAAGCAACAGAGGTGAGATAAGGTGTATCATTTACCCCGACAGAAGGAGAGCAAGGACTGTTTCACTAGTTTTTCACTTGTTTTCTTCTTGCTCTCACCAGCACCTAGCTGAGTTCTCCTTGCCACACAGTAGGGACTTAATAAATGCTGATTGACTTGAGTATGGAGAATAGCTTGTGGTCAATTTGCATGGATTGAAGGGTGCATGAAGCACAGGTAGGAGTCAGATTGTAGAGGGGTTTGAATGGCAGGTTGATTATTTTGTATTTTAAACCCAGAGGCTATGGGAAGCCACTAAAGAAACTTTGTGTTTCTAGGATCACTCTTCATATTCTTTCATGTAACCTCTCAAGGCAATCTGACACTCATACACCAAGCTGGCAGGAGATCACACACAATTTTTTGACAACTGAAAATTCCTTCTGGGGCTCGAAAACTCAGTGCAATGGAACAGCAGGTAGAGTGCCACATTAGTGAAGAACTCCTCCATACAACCTGCAAGAGCCTAGGAAAGCAACTAGGTTAATGAATGAAACTTGACACTATCCACTTTCTCTTGGCACCAACCACTTTTCAGAAGCTGTTAGCAGCAACTGGTGTTCAATTCACAATTAATGAAAGGTGGTCTTTTAAAATGAATCTCCAATTTCTTTTTCAATAACAATGTGGACAGAATGCACTCCAGAATAGATATTCTGAACTTAAGACCACATAAAATGCTGGATTTTTTCCCCGTTTTTTACCTAATTAACTTCTCAAAAGTAGAAAATGAGCTTTTGAGAAAATTCCATTTGAAGTCAGCATGAATAAACCCATGTTTTTTTCAAAGGCCTTCTAAATGACATTATGCATATTTCCTTTTAGTTTTTTTTTTTCCCAGTAAAGGCTCAGACAGACATCACAGGCCATATTGCTACCTCTCTACAGATCAAGCAGATTTGTTACTGCCTTTTCACATGTTTATAAGTCTTTGTCACAGACCACTTTAGTCATTACTGGCAAGCACTTCACCAACAGGGAAGAATCTGATAATTCTATACAGAAATCTGCCTTTACCCAAGAAATGTTCCACAATACTGGGGCTATAGGTCAATAAGGAATAAAAAATGAAGGTTTGAAGGACTTTCCAGCCTTTCTGAAACAGTTTTATATACCAAGGGACTTTTCTGTGCTCAGCTAATTACATTCTCACTTGTATTCCTAATTTCTTATATAAATAGTTATCTTAATGGAAAGAATGGGAAAAGTCCACTTGAACATCAAGACAGAAGGTGAGATATGCATCAGAGTCAAAATTCTACTCTGATTATTTTACTCAAAAATACTGAAAAGAGAGCATTCCATGCTCACAATGGACTCATCATAAAGACAAACTTCATGAATATTTGCTCTTGTAAAGAGTCCTTCCAGTCATTAAGCATAGTCATAAATATATACCTATATGTATTTGGTCATATTTTTTAGCTGAATGGCATAATGGATAGACAACAGGCCTTGGAGTTAGAGGGACTGGGGTTCATGACCTACCTCTGCCACAAATTGTGTTTGTGATCACAGTCAAGTTGCCGAATGTTTTAGGCAACTCCCTTAACTACAAGCTTCAGATGAGCTAACATGGTGGAAAGAGTTTCCATACATTAATGGAAATCATAGATCTGGGTTTAAACAAACATACAACTGTTGAAAAAAAAATTTCCTGTCTTGAAAAATTTTTTTTTACTTAAAAGCTTAGACGATTCATTCTTTTTAATACAATTCTATTCCTATCATTTCATTTTTCAAGTACAAATTGTTTCTCTCTGTAAATGAGGGTCATAAACTGACATCAATTAATCTCTTCATTGTTAGTTCAGGAACACAAAACACAAGCTGCCTTTACCTGGGCCATCTTCATCCCATTCTCATGAGAGGTTTGGATCCTGCCCTTTAGACCTTGGACTCTGAAAGGAGAGTTATCATCTCATCTTGTCTAGAACCAGACCTCTATTTTAGGCTGCCACTTGTGTATCCATGCCTCCTCTTGTTTTCTAGCTACCTTTAATGTGTCATTTTCCTCCACTGGAATATAAGCTTCTTGAGGGAAAGGACTGTTTTACTTGGTTGTAAGTGCTTAGTAGAATGGCTGGTACAGGGGCAGCTAGGTGGCACAGTGAATAGAGCTCTGGCCTCGGAGTCAGGAGGACCTGAGTTCAAATCCGGCCTCAGACACTTAACAGTTACTAGCTGTGTGACCCTGGGCAAGTCACTTAACCCTAACTGCCTCATCAAAAAATAAAGAAAAAAGAAAAGAATGCCTGGTACAAAGTATGTGTTCAATAAGAGCTTTTTATATTTATTAGTCATTCATTTATTTTCCAGTTTCAATACCTCAAGGACATATTACTTCATCCATGTGGGTACTCTCTCCACTGATGCATATTATAACTGCTTTTAGTTCATAGAAGGCCCTTCAAGAATGTCTATGGCTGAAAAATTCTTCATTCTGGGGCCTATGTGAAATATGTCTCTCTGATTTTATGCTGGTACTCAGATAACAGACATATATGCTTACTAAGCCTTCCAACTTGACAAGACCCACTTGACAGAGTTTGTATTCTGCTGACCAAATCTTCAAGGGCCTAGTCAACTCTATGCTAGGAATGAGGCACTGGAGAAGGCAGCTATGAGGGGGTATTGTGGCTAGTGCTGTACTGAGAGTCAGGAAATTTTCTTACCTCAGACACTTTCTTCTCTCAGCCTCAGTTTCACTATTCCTAAAATGGGGATATTAATAGCACCTATTTCATGGGTTTTTTGTGAAGAGTAAATGAGATAACACATGTAAAGTAGTTTGTAAAACTTAAAAATGTTATATAAATGCTTATTATTATTATTATTACAAACTAAAACAAAATGCAATAAATTATTAGGGTCCATTTCAATCCCCATACATGTGAATCTGTATATGTTATATGTGGTATATACAATTTGTAATGTTTCTCATTGTTTAATGATACATGATTTAGAGTAGGGGTCAGCAAACCACGGTGTGAGACAAAGTTCACCAACCTCTGATTTAGAGCAAAATGACAATTTAGATTATTCTATGTGGTTTTTTTCAATGATCACTTATTGTTCAAAGGCAATGAAATATATATGTATGTATGTATGCATGCATGCATGCATGCATATGTATTATCACATCCTTTTCCTTGAATACACATTGCCTCTCTTTTCCCCTTTCCTTCTAACATATGGTTTAAAGCTGTTTGGATGAATATAGTTACTGGGAATATTTTCCATTTGGAAATATTTGTTGAAACTTATTTTATACTTTCTCATTTGAAAAGCTCACCCATTCAATTAGTTTTTAAACAATCATTTCTATGTTAATCATGATTCATTTTTACCTTAAATTCAAGATATTCCAAACTGAACTCATCATTTCCCCCCACACCTCAAGAGCTGCCCCTCTTAGGTTCTTTGTGACAATGTTACCACTATTCCTCTAATCACTCAG